GAAATTTTCAGTGCTGGATACGAGAGCAGAGCTTCCAACAGATGAAACATTTGAACTGCATCCAAACATCTAAACTTCCTCACATAATCATGGATTTGATAACAGACATTCATGGTACCTAAAAATGAAGGACATCACACAAAAGCCTTTGAGGCTTTGTCACTATTTCAAGCAGTGGAACGGTATTTTTAAAATAAAAAACAGCGAGTGTTTATGACAAAGAGCTATGACACGAACAAGAAAGCGAAACAGATTCTAAATAGCAGACCAACATCGAATGATTGACAGCATGCAATCAAAAAATCTAACAAAAACCAACGACTCAAAATGCATACTTTCAAATAAAATTGGTGTTCAATGGTCAGAAGCAGTACAGCTCCTAGTTAACCAGAATAGCTGCTAAATAATGATACCAACAAAAATTTCTGCAAATCCGTAATTTTATGTCTTTCGCTAACACCAGCAATAGAACTATGCAGAAGTATATAATTTGCCGGATCATCCGCTGAAAAAGCTGATTGCAGCCCGCGCCCCAAGGCTAACTCTGAGTCTCTGAACATGCGCGTTGCGCGTCCACCTTGTGAGTGTTCATCGGTATGAGAGGATTTTCGCGTTTTGCCGTCCACTGCATCGTGTGAACAACATGTATCGAGCTTGTAAGGGGTTCCTTCGAGACTGCATTTGAGCCTGTGAAGCTTTTGTTCGGAGATTCCTGGTTCCAACGGTGCACTCCTGCAACATAAGAGTCCCTGCTTATCAACTGCGAAATATAGATGCGTTTCAATAGGATCTCCATGTTTCTCGCTGCCTTGAAAAGCCTGTTCTATATTTTTTGTAAGGTATTACCTTCACAGTTCGGAGGTTGTTGTTGATCTAGTTGGCTAAGTGCATGGATCCATCAGCCACTTGATGTTATTGCCATAATCTGCATTAAATTGCCTGATCCCCACCCGTAAATGGCCTGCGATTTGAGGACACTGTAACTAGGGAACGCTGCTGAAAGAAGTTGTGATTATGTCAATGTATTGCTTAGAACCATCGCAACAAGTGGTGGAACCTCTCCTTTTCCATACTACCGTTGACATCAAGGTAAAATCTCTTCTCAAGGCGGAGCATGGCATAATCACAACTTCTTTCAGCGCCAGTCTATGCGAGTGCACGATCTCCGTGTGTATGCAAAGTTCTGTCCTGACATCAACCGCCAGGACATTGCAGAACAGAAAATAACCCTTTCGTATAAAGAAATGTTTGGTGATTTTAGGGTATATGTACTATTACAAATATAATTCAGAAGTTGATGGATACTTGCATAGAAATTATATAGTACCTTTCCTTCTCCTAAGCTGCTCAAATGCAAGTAGCTTGATAATAAATATCATTAGCAAAGACAAAATATCTTCAAAACGATTTACAAGGAACTCACCCATTTGAGAAAGCTGTACTGCTTGCTTCATGCTAGCTGCTGCATGCATGTTAGGGAACTTTGATGATCGGCGAAACACCACTATAATGAAGAGAAAATGTTTTGTATAAGGACATTAGTTTTCGTAGCTGCTGAAGACGTATAAACAAGGTGAACTAACGTGCGGCTGTTCAGCAATACGTCCGTCTACCAACTTCTACACCCAGACGTGCTGCACGCTAAACTTGTGTTGTAATGATTCTAAGTTCAATCTAAAGCGTTTTTTACAGGCGTTTTTTTGAAAGCAATGGCTCGGTAAATTTGATACTCTGAAGGTTGTCCGGGCAAAAAATCGATTTTAAGATTTTGTGCTTACCCGGGCATATTCGCTATGCTGAATCTAAAGAGCGTAAAACGGTGGAAAAGAGCTCTGACGCAGGAAGAAAATCAGCAAATCGGGGTCTTTCCCACTGTGAATCCACGCTTTTAGCTTTTCGAACAACCTTCTAGGTTACGATTTCAAGTCACGCATTTGCACTTGGCCGATGATGATGTCAGGCGTTTCAAAGCGGCTAGCGGAATCGTGGTTGAGCCACTGGCTGCCTAAAGCGGTCACTTGAGCTCACCAAGCGCACAGATATCTGTGGCAGCTGATCGCTCATCAGAGGATTTTCGTCTCCTTTTCCATCCGCGCACCTGTTTCGAGGCAAGAATGAGATTAAAAACAACGACTTTTCCACTAAGATTATAGATTACTTGTCATCATCATGTCTAAAAAGAATAAGACAATTTATGGAGAAAAAATAGTGCAGTTTTCCCCAGCAATCGGTGCTGCAAATCTGCCTAGCCATTGGGCATGGAGATAGGAAAATTGAAGGAAAATCGAAGCATATAACTCCGTGATATACAAATGCGCATCACCGTTGAAGGAGATTCATCTAATTGCGCCTCTTTTCGGGTGTAACTGGCGCGATTCCATATCCTAATAGCGTGATAGTGTACAGCACACGTCGGAAAAGTATAATCGATGAGGAATACTGTAACAGACTATTTGTCTTATTTTAAGATGTTTCAGATTTAGAAAAAACCTTCCAAATATCTTTTAGAACTTTTTGATGCCGAAAAAGGATAACAAAACATTTGATCAAGAAACGCTTGCGGAAAAAGAAAGCCGCTTTTGCTCACTGGCTTTATCTTCGCTCCGATACGCATTGCGATGGTCGCGACCGCTCTCCACGTCGCCGTCGTCGTCGCGTCCTCCAAGGCATGCTCTCGTAAAACGATCGCACATCATCACTCCTAGCTGCGCAGATCCGTATTCGGCGATAGGAATTAAAAATTTAAGTACGGTGTATGTTCTATCCTCTTTGTTTATCAACTTAATTGAAAGCGATGTTATGGGCTCCATGATGTCATGGTCACTTGGCTCGTCCTGGAACATTCATCACGCTCGGGTAAAAATTTGATGGGGCAAAAACGTACCATCTTAAGTCTCTTTTCCATGCTTTCCAATACTTTCAAAGTTTTTGAATGGTCTTTCCGAATTTTGTACTTGATTTAATGAAGCAAACTTTATAAATTTCGAAAGAGACTATGGTCCAGTCCTTTACAATACAGATGATTAAGGCACACGCCATACTTAAGCAAAAGAACAGCGTTCATTCCTCAACCCCGCTTCAATCTTGAGGCTTTGTTAACAACACCAAATGCTCAACACGTTTATTGCCGTTGCCGTGGAGCTACCTCA